CCCCCCCAACAATCTCTTAATCTGCAAAGGGTTCCATAACCCAGATCATCACAATTTGCAAGTGACTTTGTTAATTTCAGATGTTCAGTTCAGAACACCTTACACCACAAATTATCACACTGAGACCCAGACTGCCTAGCCTATTCTGTATTACGCACTTCTGCTTTAGTGTCTCACTACAATCTTGAAACCGCAGGACTCAGCAAGCTACAGCACGTGTCCCTGCAGACAGGATTACACTAATATCTCACCTCAAGCCTTTTCTAGCTCCAAAGGAACTTGCTTCACCAGACCAGACTAGTTCACCATCTTTAGGGGTTCAACTTCTGCTGAAGTTTGCTTCCATCCCTTTCTTCAATTTTAGCCAATTCTTGCCTTCAGCCTTTGTGTTAAAGAGACCTTACCAGTTTTTAACATCACTGAAAGGGGGGATCTTTCTGTGGCTACACCATCTTGAGGGCATCTTGCTCTTACACAAGGAGTTATCTGAATTGTAATTTGTACCAACTAGGGCCCCATCAAGTGCTCAGAAGATTTGTCACCACTCTTTAAAGAGATAAAGGGAACACTACTACTCATAACTAAAGTATTCATCTCAAAAGCTAAATCCAGATACCGGCAACTGAGAACCTTAAAGTAAATTAGCTTGACAACTTGATAATTTACTTCAGTTCACTCTCTCATGGGAGAGAAATCTCAGAAGCTGGAACTGATGTTTAAATTCAGATCCTGCAGGACATTTGGGTTTGCCTAAAGTGATACTGTGCCTAATTATTTTGTTGAACCTTTTATGGTGTTTAATTTTTTTTTAATGCGCATCTACTGTCATTTTTGTTGTGCTCTCGCTCTTTATACTCAGACCTCAATACAATTAGAATGGTTTCTCACCTTAAACTGTGTATTTTTTTTATGGTTCAAAGCCAGGGAGTCCACCTGGTCACAATATAATGGTAGTGTCAGCAGGGGCTATACTTCAAAAGCAGGCACAAGACAGAACATGGAACCAAAAAAATACTCAGCGGCCCTCAAGAGTGTAGCACCACACATGCAGCGCTTTACCCATATGACATTTTTATAATATTTTTTAGACAGATAGAGCTTTTCTTTGGTGACATTTAATCACCACTGGGTTTTTTATTTTTGCTAAACTAGCAAAAAAAAAAAGACCAAGAATGTTGAAAAAAAACCTTTTCTTAGTTTCTGTAATACAGTTTTGCAAATAATTAATTTCTCTTCTTCACTGATGTGCACTGATGAGGCTGCACTCATGGGAAGTGATAGGTAGCACCAGGGGTGGACTGGCAACTCATGGGCCCCTGGGCAATAGGGGATCATTGGGCCCCTGTATCCTTGCCCACACTCAAAAAAGCCTATAAAAAAGGTACCAGGGGCATTTCATGGGGCCCCCTACTCATCCCGGGCCCTCAGGCAGTGCCTGAGTGCTCGAATGGTCAGTCCGCCCCTGGGTAACACTGTTGTGTACTGATAGGCTGCACTGATGAGGTGGCACTGATAGATGGCACTGATAGGCATTTATGATCAAGCATTGATGAGGCTGCACTGATCAGGTGACACTAATAGGTGGCACTGATCAGCACTGATGAGGCTGCACTGATGTGCACTGATAGATTACACTGATGTGCACTGATAGATTACACTGATGTGCACTGATAGGCTACATTGATGGGCACTGATGAGGCTGCACTGATGTGCAATGACAGGCACTGATAAAGCAGCATTGATGGGCACTGAGAAGCTGCACTGATGGGCATTGATTATCAAGCACTGATGAGGCTGCACTGATGAGGCAGCACTGAGAGGTGGCACTGATGGGCACTGATAGGTGGCATTTATGGGCACTGTTATGCTGCACTAATGGGCACTAATAAGTTGTACTGATCTGGACTGATGGACACTGATGGGGGTGATAATCAGGGCACTGAAGAACAGGGCCTTGATTTTCAGTCTAAACAATGTACTGACATCCTTGTGGTTATTTGCTCTTTTTTCCTCACGGTCAGAAAGTGGTTAATTAAAAGCAGAGTTAATAGTTTATAAATTCTTCATATCTGCATTTATTTATATTTTTATAACAACCTGGAGTTTAAGTTTTCTGTCTTGCATAATACTATGTTCTGCTATCTGGAGAGACCCGCCATGCAACTTGCCTGTGCACATAGCAACAGATATAATCTAAATCTGAAATCATTATTATATATGGATTATCTTGTTATATTTTAGCATCCACATTGTGCTTTTATAGTTATTTTGTTACAATGGAAAGCTTTCTCTTTCATTGTAAAAACACTCATTCAGTAGCAGGAGGATATTGATACAATGTAAAGATGAGAGACAGAGATAAAAGCAAACATGCAACTGGGTAATATTAATATTTAATAATGTGAAGAGAGAGTACACCAGGCTGAAATGAGATAAAAACCTTGAATTGGTGAAGGATAACTAAGGACAGTTGGCCTCCCTCAGTCTGAGTATTTCACAATGTGTTGTGTACATTCAGACCCTGTTTAATCCTGTCTGTTATCCTCTGTGTGTGCCAGAAGCATTTCTGAATTAATTTACTGCTTGCTTACAGTGAGTCGAAATTCACCCCTGCAGTTCATTTGAGATTTGAATGTCATTTTTGCTGTTCTTCAAAATATTCTTGGTGTGATTTGGTAACACTGTTAGGATTTTAAAGAACAAAACATAATATAATGTAATATAATACAGATTACTTATTTCCTGCTATGGTGGATTTCCATGGCACAATAGCAGTCAAAGATACCTACATTTGAAAGAATGCTGTATAAAGCAGTGTTTTTTTGTAAAATAACATAAAAAATATAAATTAATTTTCTCACTAGATTAAAAGGTTTATTAAAAGAATGGATCCCCCCAATAGGAAGGTTGTGGAATGCTGGGCCATCCCCTGCTCTCTGTGGTTCCATTAGCCCTTATTGTATGTCTTTACATTGAACCACTGCTGGGGACAACATTGTCTCCCAGACAGGAAGCAAGCGATAAATCTCTAATAATGACAGAGACAGCAGAGAAAGTGAGGAAAAGCTGATATGCTTCTAACCTTGCCACAGGTGTCAAAGAAAAAAAAATGTTGGCTTTAAAGCTGAACTTTAACCTATCCGCCTAAATTTTTTCAGTGTTCTGCTCTGGAAGGATACTCACCAACCCAGTGCACTCAGCATTGTCCTGCTCTGATGCCCTTCTCTGTCACTGGCACTTTTGTCCCATAGTGTCACCGTCTTCTGGGATGTCATTGGGAGGCACAGGCACTCCCTACAATGATGCGCCACTAGGCCCGCCCCCTCATGCTTTAGTGAATGGATACTCCCTTCGCCTCTCGGGATAGCTACGTCACGTATCCTGAGAGGCACTAGGGAGGTGCTGACATCATTCGCTTAGGCGAATAACAGAAGAGGAGTCTTTTAAAAAGAATAGTTTTATTTATCAAATAACAACCTACAAAGCGCATAAATAGAAAAACCTAAATCTAATCAATATTTGGTATGCCTTTTTCTTTGGTATAAGAAAACAATTCTCCTAGGTACAGTTGCACATAAAAGAGTAAGTAGGTTGTTCCAAACATCTAGGAAAAAGAAGAAATAAATATAGGTGAGCCCTTCTAAAAAAAAGCTTCTAGCCCCTAAAGATGACACACCAACCTTATAAAATTGTACAGGGGATACGCCTATCTGAAAATGTGCATGCACAGGAAATGGGTTGGTAGGGGCTTTACATGCTGACATCCTGCGGCCGGTTCCTGAATTCGGAACAGCAGCCATCTCTGTAAGTATCCACTTGGTTGTTTTTAACTTTGTACAACAGAGGTTTATATAAAATATACTACACAATACTCTTATCTGGGCTCTGTACTTCTTTTTGTACAATCTAGGAAAATTAAAAACAATTCTGAGATCAGAGCTCTGTGGGGTCCATTCATTCTTATTCAGGATTATGTTTATATTTTAATGATAGATAGATAGATAGATAGATAGATAGATAGATAGATAGATAGATAGATACTGTAAATAGATAGATGTATAGAAAGATAGTGGTGAGCAGGTCCATACAGGTTGATGCAGTGGGGGCAAGATGATCACGTGTCAGTACATTGCTAACAATCGGAATAATGTTCATCAGTACAATAGCAGTGAGCAGGGTCATAAATGTCAGTGCAATGGTAGTGAGAAGGGATGTAGAAATGTTGTGCAGTGGGTCATGAGCCAGTTGGGTCATGAGCATCAGTTCAGTGATGGAGAGTGGGGTTACTACAACAGCCTGTCATGTCTGTCCTTGAGGAGGGTCAACTCCACTTCCTGTGCCTCACCTGAGTATGAGCTATCTACTGCTTCTGTGTGTACTCAGTGCCAATCCCCACTCTGTCCTTGGATGACATGTCCACATAGTAGCTGGACACAGCCATATCATCCAGGCCTGAGGGACTGCCATGACACTTCCACAGTGCCTGCCCACCACAGGCTCTTAATGGGAGAAAAGTGGCTGGAAGCATGTCCCCAAGGTTAACAGTCTCAGCATGACAAGAGGACCAAGAGTCACAAAATCCACTGTCATTATCCTAAAAGTTAAGAGGGTGAGCACAAGTAGTTTTTCCTCTTATTTCTTGGATTTTTGAATTTTTCTTTTACAATAATTGTTATATACACTATATTTCCAAAAGTATTGGGATGCCTGCCTTTACACACGTGTGAACTTTAATGGCATCCCAGTCTTAGTTTGTAGGGTTCAATATTGAGTTGGTCCACCCTTTGCAGCTATAACAGCTTCAACTGGCTGGGAAGGCTGTTCACAAGGTTTAGGAGTGTGTCTGTGGGAATGATTAACCATTCTTCCAGAAGCATTTGTGAGGTCAGGCACTGATGTTGACAAGAAGGCCTGGCCCACAGTCTCTGCTTTAATTCATCCCAAAGGTGTTCTATCGGGTTGAGGTCAGAACTCTGTGCAGACCAGTCAAGTTCCTGGGAACATGAAATTCTCCAAAATGTCTTGGTATGCTGATGCCTTAAGAGTTCCCTTTGGTGGAACTAAGGGGCCAAATCAAACCCCTGAAAAACAACCATAATTCCCATCCACCAAACTTTACACTTGGCACAATGCAATCTGGCAAGTACCGTTCTCCTGGCAACTGCAAAACCCAGACATGTCTATCATATTGCCAGACAGAGAAGCGTGATTTATCACTCCAGAGAACAGGTCTCTACTGCTCTAGAGTCCAGTGGTGGCGTGCTTTACACAACTGTATCTGACGCTTTGCATTGCACTGTGACGTAAGGCTTGGATGCAGTTGCTCACCCATGGAAACCCATTCCATGAAGCTCTCTATGCACTGTTGTTGTGCTAATATGAAAACCACACAAAGTTTGGAGGTCTTTAGCTATTGACTCTGCAGACAGTTGGTGAATTCTGCGCATAGTGTGTTTCAGCATGCCTTACCACTTCGTGGCTGAGTTGCTGTTGCTCCCAGTTGCTTCCACTTTGATATAATACTACTAACAGTTGATCGTGGAATATTTAGTAGCAAGGAAATTTCATGGATGAACTTATTGCACAGGTGGCAACCTATCACGGTACCACGCTTGAATTCACTGAGCTCCTGAGAGCGACCCATTCTTTCACAAATGTTTGTAGAAGCAGTTTGCATGCCTAGGTGCTTGATTTTATACACCTGGGGCCGTGGAGGTGATTGGAACACCTGAATACTTTTGGCAATATAATATATATATATATATATATATATATATATATATAAATGCTCCTAGTGACAACTGTAAAATGTTATATTTTCTTTTCACTTTCTGTCTTGCTTATGATGGTCATTACATCAAACAGACAGAGGGGACACACACAGCAATAAAAATCCAACAGGGTTCTAACGTTTTTTCTTCTCCATCCAAAACTAAAAAAATGTTTGCCTTGTAACATACTTCAATTACAAGCATTTAACCTATTATTTTTTTACATTCATATTATTTATTTTTATTTGAAATATGTTTATTTGAAACAGCCTATTAGTTGATTGATCTGTTTTCATAAAAGTAGGTCATATATTGTATGGGTTTGATATAGTGTTTAAAGCCATGCAATTACCTAACTTGTGGCTTAACTGGTAAACAATAGGAGTATTGTTCAGTTTTGACAGATTTTTTTTTTTATCAAACTGAACTCAGTACTGTTAGAAGTGACTCTGTTTGCTTAACTTATATATATGTAACCAGTGGGGTCACATCAGGTTGTATGTGATTTGGTAGGTGATAAATAATATAGCAAAAATGGTTTTGTATTTTCCCTTATGCCACGGAATTTTTTTTTTTATTCTTAAGGAATCATACTTTCTGTGATATTATATCAACATTTAACCCTTAACCTAACCCTTACAAGTTACATCTTTGCCATACCACCTAAAATTTACTCTTGTGACATAACGTAATCCTAACCAGTGACAAAGTTAGACATTCTTTCCATGGGGCAAAGACTCCGTAAGGTGCACCCCTTCCCCTTTACCTGAAAAGGATGGTGTCAATAGGGCAGAGATTGGTGCAAGTACGGCAGTGGACAGTGTCAGTAGTTTTTTTATTTTTATTATTTTATTTTTTTATAACTGTTTTTTACAATTGTATTATTTTTTTACAATATTCATTTTTTATTATTTTTCACAATATAGTAGGAGGCCTGTTGGGGGCTTTGGTAAAATATCATGGGTCTAAACAGACCCCTGATGTCTCAACTTTTGAGACAGAAGAAAAGGACTGTGGACAAATTCCTCAGTCCCTTTCTCTGCAGCACCAGCCACATAGGACATGCTCTGTGTTGAGCAGCTTCCTGTTCATTCACAAACTGAAGCATAGTAAGTTTACAATGCTTCAGTTATGAATGAAAACAATGAAAGATCAGGACTCTGCCTTTATTCACAAAAAGAAGGGGCCTGTAATTGACACATTTTCTGACCCCTTCCTCTGCTCTCCATCTTGAAACATCCCTCACAAAAAGCAGCAGAAAAGGAGAAAAGGGGAGCCTGCAGCACTGTCGTTGGGCCAGGAAAGCACACAGGGGGGCCTAGCAGCAGAAGGAGGGGAAATCTGGAGAGAAGGGGCAGTGGGGGAAGCTTTTAGTGGAACTGATGGGCTGTATTTTCCTCTTGCAGCAGCTGAATACCAGCAGGCTTTCAGTTGCTGCAGGAGGACAATGCAGCCCATCAGTTCCATAAATGCCAACCCTGCCACCACTTTCCAACTGGTTGCCAACAATATCATATAGATTAGCAAATAAAAATAGTATATCCTCCAACACAGAATCGTCAGTTCACTCTAACAGTTCTGACAACCACTGACATTATTGCTGCTGTGAGCTCACCCTTTTTTATTCATTCATTCTTTATTTATCATTTAAAGTATTAAACAGTCACACATAAAGTAACTAAGTATAAAAAAAGATTATTACATTATTACATCAAGAATATACAATTATTACATCAATAATGAATACAAAAAAGTAAGTATCATACAACAGGGGGAATTGTGAATCCTATGAACGATAGTGACCAAGGTGAAGCATCGGGTGCAGCACGGGGTTTAATCAACAATTTCTCTGCTGTTGGATTGTAATAACACTGCTCTGAAATGTGTAAAGAGGACCCACCTAAACATAGGCAATTCAGTAGGGAATAGGCATTATGTTGTGAAACCACTGGGGCAGTGTATAAAGTAGGAAATAAGTTTCCATTTTTGAGTCAAACATGAGTGAATAAGAAGGAAGAAAGAAGAATAAGCAGAAAGGACTAAAAAGGAGAGGGGGAGAGGGAGGTGAGAAAGGACAGAGGAGGAAAAAAAGATCAACAGCAAAAGTCGCTAAAATTGCTAGAGTGAACATTTGCAAGAGAAAGAGAAATGATTTCTTGTAACAATATCTATTCATTCATAAGTTGTTTGAACTCATCTTTACAGGTGAGCTCAACCACTAACATCATGTGTACTACAGTAAAACAACTCTATTACAATCAATAATAAACACATTTCTTACAGTATATGCCTATGTTTCTGCTTCCAGTTTCACTATGAAGTGTTCCACACACCTCCGTACATATATGTAATATCATATACTGCGGAGCTGCCCCAAATCCCTGAATATGATAGATAAAATTGTGCCTTCCCCTTTATAAAGGGGCTCATTAGCTCACGATCTCACATGGTCCACAGGATCCTGGGGAGATCATGCACCTTACATCTCCTCTTTGTTATCCTCCTCTCCAGACAGTATTATTTATTTTCCCCCTTTATATTAGTGATTGACCCCCCCTGTTTGGTTCGCCGTCAAACATTCGAACCTAATGAACCTAATGAAAGTCTATGAGACTCAAACTTGTAAATTCAAAAGTGTCCATTTTGAAGCCTTATATGCACATTATTGGCCATAAAGGGGGTATGGTGACTTGGGGACTGCCCTGAAGGACATGAATCAGTGAAAACATTTTTTTTTCAAAAAAAGTACTAAAGGGCTGAAAGTAAAAAAAAAAAAAAAAAATTAAATGTCTTTAAATATCATGCCTGGGGGGTCCCCTTAAACTACCTGCAAATTTGCACATCTGTCCAATATATAGAACCTGCTGCAGCAGGACTGATGTTTTTTTGTTTTTTTATAATTTAATTTTTATTTAAAAAAAGAAATGGGTGGAGTCCCTCTCAATCCAGACCCCACAGTAACAAATTTTGAAAAAAGTGTGTGTGGGGTTCCCCCTAAAAGCTATACCAGGCCTGGTAGGACTTTTAAGGGGAGCCCCACCCCTCAAAAATAGGGGGAAAAAGTGTAGGGTCCCCCTAAATTCCTACCTGACCCTTGATCCGAGCACAGGCCTTGCAGGCCATGAAAGGGGGGGAACAAGCAAGCACCCCCCCTTCTGAACCTTACCAGGTCATATGCCCCCAACATGGGGGGTGCTTTGGGATGGGGGGGCTCCCCCAAAGCACCTTGTCCCCATGTTGATGGGGGCAAGCGCCTCTTCCCCATAACCCTGGGCTTTGGTCGTGGGGGTCTGTGAGGTGTGACTTTTTGGAATCTGGAAGCCCCCTTTAACAAGGGGGACCCCAGACCCTGCCCCTCCCCCTTGTAAATGAGTATGGGATACCCCTACCTATTCACTGAAAAAGTGTAAAATGTGAATAAAAAACAATAGTTTTTGAGTCCTTTATTTAAAAATAAAAAGGCAAAAAAATGGTTCATCGTCAATCACGATGTCCAGCATTGCATTGCCATTATTGAGGGATAAAGTTTTTTTTTAATGACTACATATTTATGTTATGCCATAATTTTAAATACACACATACTTAGTTGATACTATGATTAGCAGATGGTACTAGGATTTTTTTTACATTGCTGTAAATATAAATATACCCCAGTAAAGTATACTGTTTGTAGACACAATTTGTCTCTCCTCAGATAAGGGTAAGTCCATTATTACTAGAATGAATAGCCTAGATAAATAGCTAGAGTATGGCTTCATCTCTTTTGGAGCACACCAGTGAGCTAATAATATAGGCATTTGTGCCGTGTGTGAGTTCCCAGACATGTAAGATACTGAGCTGGAAGATAGTGTTCGTTATCTATAAATGAGGAGCAGAATCCTCAGTACAGGAGGACATGTGGCCTGAAGCTTGCTGCAAGTAAGAGAGGCAGCAGGATATAATGGCGAGACTGCTTGTATTGGCAGCTTAACTGGTACGCACAGATGAGCAATTCTTCTTTACTTCAAGCAGCTGTCATATAATAGCACTCTTGCGGGAAAAGTTAAAAAGTCAAACAAAAGACTTGTGTCACAATTAACTATCCTGCCTATTTCTGTGATAAAAAAAAATAATACAGTGGTCCAGAGAGGGATTCATTATACCTGAGCATATGTATAAAGTTATTTGAGGAACCCTTAGGCAATGGAAAGAAAAGGCAAGTGTTTGTGGTGAGCTGACTGTGTTCTTTTCTATTAGCTTGTTTTTTTCCTTTAGAACTGCATATTATATCATATCTTGACTGTGGGATGTACAACTACCAATTGAAGGGCATACAGAGGAAATAGGATTTTTTTTGGATAAGAACATTCATTGCTGGATCACCACACATGATTTTTAGAACTTTCTTTTTATTTTAGTATTTTGTACTTTTGTAATTTTTGAATGTGTTATAATACATGCAAAAGTAACCCATTGCAGTGCAATATAACATGTTTGTAAAATAGAATATAAAAAGAATCAACAATCTGTAGAGCTACTCTCTTAGGAGTCACAAGGATACTGTCTAGGTCTTCCCCCAAAGCGTTGCCCAGCAGCCAGGCACAAAGGGCTATTCACACATTTCTTAAATGACCAGTCTAGTGGTGTTGTTTTTGTTGTTTATATTGTTTGTATTTGTGAACTTGGATAGGGAGGGAATTAGCTGGGATACTTGAAAAACAAGAACTATGTACAGTTGAGGACTTTAGGTATTCTTTCAGGTAAGCTATGACAAAGTCAGTTCTTGAGACAAACAGCAGACTTTGAATCTTCCTTTAGGTAGGAGATCAAGTGCACAAAGCTCTTCAGAACACTGGTCGGTGTTCCTTTTAGCTAAACCCACAGTTGACTCCCTAGAACCAGAGGGGTTTAAGTAGCACACAGTCTC